TCAGTGCTCTGTCACAATGGGCTTTTAAGCTTTCAAAGTAATTACAAATGCATTTGAGCATCTATGTATTAAACTGATTAGTAATAAAATCCAGAAGCTTAAGACAACACCTGTCAAAGGCTGAGGCTGACAAAAGTCAAACAGCAGTCTCTACTTTCACATGTCTACAAACCCGTACCTTAAAGTTATTAGAATATTACAAGATTTCATTTTAATAGCAAAAAAACTCTTTTAAAACTGACAAGAGTAAATTCTACCTAGAATTAAGAAACAACAGAGGCATAGCAGCCAATGTAATCTTAAAAAACAAAAAGGATAATTAGGGCAAATCTAAAAATTCTTAAAACTGCTCTTTTCACCTATCAAACATTTACTTAAAAACACACCACTAATTTACTACTTTAACATTGCAGCACTTAGGGACTCAGTCTCATCTAATTTCATTTTTGAACCACAAAGAAACACTACCTCTAAGTGCTTCCATAATTGGCTGGACCGTCTCAGACCACTGGTGAGCGTTGATGGTTGTATAGATCCCAGGGAAATCTCTCTGCCAGATTCTTTGTCCTACTGACCAAATTCCCCCAAGTTCAGAATTTGCCTGCAACAAATATTATTGCCTTAGAGGGTATTCACTCTGTAAATGTACCAATGACTGTATCTTAAAACAAAATACCAGAAATGATATAAAAACTTGTTAGCTACATCATTAAAACCCAATTCAACATTTATTTTAAAAGATGCAATTACCTTTTCAGTCCAATCACTATCAAAAGAATTTTTAAATACTATGAGTAGTCACGTAAAATTTATTTATAGGCTTGATATAAATTTTTTATTACAATAGCAAATTAAGGCATTAGAAAGTAGTCCAAAAACATTTCAGAATGAAGCCTGGGGACTAATTAGCTTAATACTGTTTTTAAAGATGTTGTATTTGTATTTCACAGATATGTTTTATATATATATATTTAATTACATTAAAAGTAATAGCAAAATGGTTAACAATAGACTGTCAATCTAAGATGCCATACATCATAGCCTCTCTAAGCATTTCTACTAATATCACCGAAATGTAAGTGCATAATTTAGAGTTGTTCTTTATTTAGCCAAAGAAGCTGAGGAATATTCCAATCTTACTTAACAGAATATATGGAAAAAAGAAGTAAAAATATTAATCTGATCTCTTGATGAATACTGACAATGAACAAACGTTCAGAGAAACTCTTGGTAATATTCTGAGAATGTTAAAAAATTTCACTTTACACTCATGTTAGACACATGAAATCATCTGAAGTTGAAATTTTACTTCATTCTATTTTCAAAGAACCTTTTCCAAGGTTATTTCTTCTAATCTCCCATCCAAAATAAGAAATCTAAAATCCTAATTAGCAAAATAATCTTACTGCTGTGATTAATCATTCTTAGAATACTTTTGTAAACGATGGCAGTTTCAAAATAAATACCATTATCAGAAACAACAAAAACCAGTTGAAAATCACCTCCGCTGCCTCTGCCACCTCCCTCCTTCATCTAAAGGGCTCAGCTGTTTAACTAGGGAAGCTGCACTTGGAAGTGTCTCAGGAAATCTAATCAGTAGGAACTAAGCAATAATTTCTACACCATCCCAGCAAAATCCAAATTTCTGAGTACAGGACCCTGAAGATTTATTTTGAAACTTCAATACTAGCTTGATGACTATTTCTACGACGTCCGCTAGAAAACAGAAACTTATAAAAGGTTGCCATTTAAGGGAATGTCATTACATTAAAGCAGTAAGATATGTTTAAAGGATACTTACAGATTTTATAGCAGGTGGTATTCTTTTCCAAAGGTATCTTGCGTTATTCCTAATTTACACCATCACAAAGAAGAATAAATTAAAAAGCTAATCATCTCAATAAATGTTTACCAGGTCTCAAGGCAAACGTACAGAGTATACTTTACATAACACAAAGTAAAATTTAGTTTTATATGAATTTGTTTTGGGGAAACAATAGTGGTTTTCCAGAAAAAAAGGACATGAAATATTTTTACCAAAATGCTATTTTGCCATTTCTAGTGAATTTTTTTAAAATAATAATCCACATCCTAAATTAAGGCAACAGCACACTAAAAACACAAAACTTATGGAACTGCCCAAATAATTTATTCAGATAAAAAAGTAAACAAATTTAGGTACTATCAAGGCTCTAACATTCCCTGACAAGAAGCATGGCACACAGCACTTCTCTCTCTATTATGGCCCCTCCCACCAGTGGGTACAGTGCTTCTGAGGAAGGAGTTTTTAAGGGTTTGGAGGCTTGAACTATGACAACTATATAATTACAGTTTTACAAAAAAGAAAACATCTACGTGCAATAAAAATTTCAAAAGTTTTTAAAAAGATATAAAAGAAAGGTTTTGCGAGGAATTTAAAATGAAACTATCAGGAATCATCGGTGAGTCACAGAACTATAGGAGACTTTTTTGTACAGTTATGCTTTCTTTTTGAGACAGGGTTTCCCTTTGGTTGCCCAGGCTGGAATGCAGTGGCGCAATCTCAACTCACTGCAGTCTCAACCTTCTGGGCTCAGGTGATTCTCCCCACCTCAGCCAACCAGGTAGCTGGGATTAGAGGCATGTGCAACCACACTCAGCTAATTTTTTGTATTTTTAGGAAAGACAGGGTTTCATTACATAGTCCCCAGCCTGGTCTCAAACTCCTGGACTCAAGCCATTCACTTTCCTCCACCTCTGAGAGTGATGGGGTTACAGGCATGTGGCACCAGGTCCTGCCTAGCATAGCGACGGTTTCTGACTTTTCCATGTGAACATGAATTAAGAATAAAAAACAAAACAAAACAAAACAAAAACTTTCAGGAAATCTCATACATGTTTGTAATGAATTCTTCTTGGTTGCAATCTTCTCTTTCCACTTCTTTTGTTCTATTGATTATATATGAAGTTAAGTAAACAGAGGTCATAAAAGTGTTTTTAAAAAGACAAAAAGGTTAAATGAAAGAAATTTACTGACAAAGTTTCTCATAATAAATTGAAATGTTTTCTAGAAAGTGTATGTAAGACAATGAAGACCTAACAATACTTCATTAAGCTATGATTCAATAGGAAATAGATGTAACAGTTATTATAATAAAAAAGGTAGCTCATTCTGCCTATGTTTTAGTGGTACTACTTCAGTGCAGAAATATTTCCATATAACTGTGAGAAAGCTGTTGCTCTTGGCTTTAGGGTGAACATACTTACATGTCATTATGGAGCAAATATAAAGCTAGAAGCTGACCATACACTGGGGGTGTAGCAATTCCTCCAGGAGCCTAGAAGTTCAAAAATAAAAAAATTAAAAATTAAAAAATTTTTTAAAAACCTCATTTACCCGTTAACTTACATTTAAAAAATAATATTTTATTAATGCTATTTTAAAAAGCCGTTTAAGTCTAAGATTATAAGGAATCTTATAGTCCTATAACAGATTTAGAAACAGCTTGGAGAAGTATCAAACACGAAAATCCTGAGTATTAAGTTTATATTCGTCATCAATTTTCTCACCCTTTGGGCCTCAGTTTCTTTATACATTCAAGAATATGTAAGTGGATCCCCTTCCCCAGTTCTCCAGTTCCCATTTAAATGATCTTACTATTATAAAAAACAAATTCAACAGATTCCTAAAGTATTCTGATTCTGCCTATTACATCAAGTGTCCTGAATAAGGGACAGAAAATCACCAAAGCTGCGTTGCAAAGACAATTCTTCCGATTTTAACTCAATTAGAAAATATCTATTAGTGAGTTGCTGCTTCTGGATGTTGTCTCCTTCAGTTAATACATGTAAAAACTAATGATATAAACGCTTTTTAAGAGTCTAGGCCGGGCGCGGTGGCTCAAGCCTGTAATCCCAGCACTTTGGGAGGCCGAGGCGGGCGGATCACAAGGTCAAGAGATCGAGACCATCCCGGTCAACATGGTGAAACCCCGTCTCTACTAAAAATACAAAAAATTAGCTGGGCATGGTGGCGCGTGCCTGTAATCCCAGCTACTCAGGAGGCTGAGGCAGGAGAATTGCCTGAACCCACGAGGCGGAGGTTGCAGTGAGCCGAGATATCACGCCATTGCACTCCAGCCTGGGTAACAAGAGCGAAACTCCGTCTCAAAAAAAAAAAAAAAAAAAAAAAAAGAGAGAGAGTCTAAGAAAAACGTTAACAGCTGCCTAACTTTCATCTGCCTTACTAAAAACAAAATGGCAAGCTTACTTGGCAACAACCTTACGAGACGAAGAAAGGCTTTGTGAGTTAAGAAAAGGTTACAATGGTCACATCTTTCTTGGGGTGTGCGCGCGTTGGGGGGTGTGTGTGCGTGTGTTTACCAAGATCTTTAATAAAATCCACATCACTACTCCCTCCCAACCCGACACTGGGAAGGAAAGATGGCTACTTAATACGAGCCTATCGGTCGGTGCCGGAGCAAAGACGCACAGGGTTTTCGGGCTCACAAGCTGAAGACCAACAACAAGAAGGTCCCGGCGAGCTCGGGGCGCCCCGGCCCGGTCGGAGCCCGCCGCGACTGACAGGGCTCCACGCGCCCGCCCCGGGAGCCTCAGACCCGGTTACCCTGGAAACCGGTGCCGCCCCGGGGCCTAAGAAAACTCCGCAGGGTCTCCCAGCGCAACGCAAAGCGCTACCTCGAGCTCCTGGTTCTCGCACTGATCCAGCAACTTTTTGAAACTGAAGGCACTTTCCGCCATCACCGCCACTGGCATCTTCCCGGCCGGTCTCGCCGCACCTTCCGGACAGCCAGACCCCAGACTCTCCCTCGGGCGTCGCGCCCGCGATGACGTTTCAAGCCGCCTTTGCCACCGAGGTCTCCGGCGTACACAGACCGTCAGTTCCGGGGCGCCGTCAGACGCCGCCGCGGCCGGGATGGGGCGCCGCCGCTCTGGCCGGCTCTCTCGGTGTCCTGGAGGACCTGGCTGGCTGCGCCGGAAGCTGGGCTCAGACTGCGCCGGAAGCTGGGCTCAGACTGCGCGGCGGTCGCGGGCAGAGGGTAGTTTGCTGCACCGCTGAGGATCCGTCGTGAGGACATCCAATACATAGAAAACAAACAACAGCAACCGTCGCTCATTTTTAAATATTAAAATTGCTGGGGAGCACGACGGATCCTGCAGCTGTTCGGCTGTCCTGGTCAAGTCAGTGACCCTAGGGCTCTGCACCGTGCCCTGCACACAGTAGGTGCTCACGAAACGTTCCAGAGTTCCCCGCTTCGAGGAGACAAGCTTAAAAACTTAGAATCTAAGGTTTCAGTCTCCTGCTTGTTAGGCAGCGCCCCCCGGAGCCACGCTTCTCCAGCTGGGACCTCCTTCCAGGCGATTCTCGGAACCTCAGCCAGAGGGATTTTTTTCTTTTAACTTTCCTGAAACTTAGAGCAGATCCGGTTACCCTTCTGCACAACCCCCTAACATCCAGGGCCCTTCCCATCGCTCAGAATTTGCATTTTTTTTTTTTTTTTTTTTTTTTTTTTTTTTTTTTTTTGAGACGGAGTTTCGCTCTCGTTACCCAGGCTGGAGTGCAATGGCGCGATCTCGGCTCACCGCAACCTCCACCTCCTGGGTTCAGGCAATTCTCCTGCCTCAGCCTCCTGAGTAGCTGGGATTACAGGCACGCGCCACCATGCCCAGCTAGTTTTTTGTATTTTTAGTAGAGACGGGGTTTCACCATGTTGACCAGGATGGTCTCGATCTCTCGACCTCGTGATCCACCCGCCTCGGCCTCCCAAAGTGCTGAGATTACAGGCTTGAATTTGCGTCTTAATTCCCAGCTCGCCTCTGGCTCGCTGTAGCCGTCCTGGCCCCTTTAGTTTAGCACACCGCTGATGGTTAGCGAACAGTATATTGTATATTATTTATTAACATATTTGTTTTCTACATCCCTCCCTAGACCCCCAGGAAAGAGGCTCTGATGTGTTCCCTGCTGCAAGGCTGGCTGCATGATCTGTGGGGCCCAGGCAAACTCAAAGTGCAGAGCTCCTTGTCCAGAAAGCAGACGGAAGGTGCCATTAAGGTAGTAAAATGTAACACTTTCTCTTTGTTCTCAGTTCTCTCTTAACTTCTCGTAGTGTTTTTATGTGTTATTTATTATCTAAGTAAAGAAAAATTTAGATTTAAATTGTTAGCATGAATTTTACCATCCATCTTTATGTTGTGAAATGCCAGTTTGAAATTCTAAGTGCACTGAACTCATTTGTGGAATCACAGAAGTTACGCAATTTGTACTTCATAGCTTATACCTGCATATGTATTTTGTTTTTACCAGAACCATGCTGGTAAAAACAAACGCTGCCCAAAGGGGACTTGTTTCATATGCACAAGTTCTTTCACTCTCGGCCTGGGACGCACTGATGAGTAAGGAAGGACTGAAGGCAAAAGAACTACGGACTGGCCTTTCGGCATAATCAGGTGTCTAATATAAAGAAGTGCATGAATAAGAAAACATATGATATGTGTGATGGCTAATACTGAGTGGCAGCTTGATTGGACTGAAAGATGCAAAGTATTGATCCTGGGTGTGTCTGTCAGGGGGTTGCCAAAGGAGATTAACATTTGAGCAGTGGGCGGGGAGGCAGACCTACCCTTAATCTGGGTAGGCACCATCTCATCAGCTGCCAGTGCTAGAATATAAAGCAGACAGAAAAAATGTGAAAAGAGAGACTGGCCTAGCCTCCCAGCCTACATTTCTCCCTGACTGGATGCTTCCTGCCCTTGAACATCGGACTCCAGGTACTTCAGTTTTGGGACTTGGACTGGCTCTCCTTTCTCCTCAGCTTGAAAACTGCCTATTGTGTGACTTGCGATCATGTAAGTTAATACTTAATAAACTCCTCTAAAGAACCCTGACTAATAGAGCATGGTTCCTTTATGTTTCTTAAGACACCGTTGCCGCCTTTCTGCCTTCAAAGCAAGCGTAGGCTCTAAGGGGAAAAGTGCGGCCCTTCAGGGATGTCAGCACCCAGTTCACTCAGCTATAGATACTGCATGAGTACCTTGTGCTCACTTTGAGTCTTCGTGGCCTCCCAACATCAGGGGTCCACAGGGTATTCAATGTGCATGGTGCATTGTGAATGCTTTATGGAACATCAGTGGCCAACCGGAGAGGCCTGTTTCCCTGGCTCATGCTTCCTTGTCTTAATGGACCTCAGTTACAAACCACAAGTTTACAGATAAAATTATTAAACATTTCAAGACAGAAACAGCCATCCTTGATTATTTTTGCATAATCCACAGCATCTCTGTGTGGAAATGATTGTTTAGTAATTCCCCAAATGGAATGTAAAGAAGAAAACACTACGATGTTCTTCAAGGAATTGCCAACATTAAATAGAAGGGCACATAGGGAGATCAACGCTTGAGTCAGTGGGCTGGGAACGGCCGCTGACATATATGGTTAGCAGAACTAGAGATATTTTGGAGGAATAAAGCAACAAAGTTTCATCTGCAGCTTCAAGGAAGAGAAGGACTGAGGGCAGTGTGAGTCTGAGATCGTTTGACAGAACCATGAGGAGCAGGATTTTGACACTTGTAATAATAGTCTCTAACCCTTTGGGGCAAAGAAATATTCAATAGAAGCCCTGCTTGACAATTTGATCATTTAAAGGGAAAACTATAATGTGAAAGCTTTGGCAGGTGCTTTGGGCCTCTAAGAGGTGGAAACCTACCAAGGTGGCTCTTTGCTGATTAGAAAATCCAAGTGAGGCTTTCAATACATACTGCAGATTAGAGGTAGAGTTGGAGTGTCACTTAAGGACCAAGCTGTTCCTTGGAAGACCAGTATAGGAATTTGGGATTTGGAGGCTGGGTGCTAGAGAGAGTAGGAAGAGAGTCCTTGGGAGGCAGAGAGGAGTCTCTGGGAGCAGTTGGGGTCTGAGGTGAGACCCTGGCTTGGACACCAGGAACTCCAAGTGGCACTGAAGCACTGAAGCATCTTCAGGGCTGTGATGGTTGATATTCAGTTTTAGGTTGTCACTATACTGTGCTGGAACCACCTTTTCCCCCAGACTTTCGACAGTGAGAGAAGAGAAAGGGTACAGGAAAGGGCAGTGTGGTGTAAAATGCTGTCATCTCCAGAGGTGTGACTCAGAAGAGATCAAGGCTGGGAAGAGCATCAAAGAGAGGCAGCCAAAAGGACCCTCTGTTCCTGGAGATGCTGGTGCTGGAGTGGGAAGGACTGTGTTTGTCACTGCTCTTGCAGTGAGGATGGGGTCAGCGGGCTGAAGGGAAGCACGCACTTCAGAGGCTGGAGGACAGGGCTCTCAGACCCATTGCCACCTGCTGGTCTTCCCCTTATGCACCTTTTCCATAACTCTTCTCTGGGAGAAGCACAGTGATTGAGGAGGCTGGAAATTGTCCTGGGATGGCTGGTACAGTTTGGACATTTGTCCCCTCTAAATCTCATGTTGAAATGTGATCCCCAGTGTTGGAAGCGGGGGCCTTGTGGGAGGTGATTGGGTGACTGGATCATGGGGATGGATCTCTCATGAATGGCTTAATGCTATCCACTTTGTGGTGAGTGAGTTTTCACTCTGGCATTTCACGTGAGATCTGGTTGTTTCAAAGAGCAGGGTGTCTCCTCTCTCTGTCTTGTTCCCTGTCTTGCCGTGTATTATGTCTGCGCCTCCTTCACCTTCCACCATAATTGAAACTTGCTGAGGCTTCACCGGAAGCAGATGCCAGCATTATGCTTCCTGTACAGCCAGCAGAATCATGAGCCAAGACTGGGAAGAAGCAAGTCTGACTGCCCTCCTGGTTCACAAAGAGCATTAAGAAAGCTGCAGTAGGCTGGGCCACATAGCCCAGAGAGCTGAGCCTCCTGGCCTGCCTGCCCGCCCATCCACCCTGGTTGTCCTGGTGGTAGGGCCTGGAGGACTTCTAAGGGGAAAGAACAGCTGGAGTTTCTGTTGATGTGAAAAAGGCAGCTCTCAGCCTTCCACACCCACACTTGTTTTCCTATAAAACTTCCTAGCAGCAATTTGAGCTACCTGTGGAGGAGACAGGGCAGGAAGGGTGAGGGTCTGCTTCTGACCTGCCATGTCCTTTGCAGGAAGCAGGTAGGCACCTTTCTGAGCTTATTCTATTCCCCACCCACACCCACAGGCAGGGTTGGACGTGAAGGACTTTTTTAACCTTTGTTTTCATTTTTTAAAAATAGATCTGTAAAATCTGTAAAAAAAAAAAAAAGTTTTCTCCATAAATTACCTAGTCTCAAGTGTTTCTTTATAGTAATGCAAAACTGGGCTAGCACAATGGCTGACTCAAAACTCTGAAATTTCACGTTTTTTGGTCCTATTTTCTACACGTTCAAAGCGCTCTGCTCCATTTTCCCCTGGGAACTATAGAGTCATTTATTATGAGTAAGGCCCCTGAAAACATGATGTCACAAGGGGCTCAGGTGCCCTCCTCCCAGATTCACACTGGTTGCCCATTTGTTTTGGGATCACAGTTTCCATAACCGGGTCTAGGGCCACGTGATCAGTCTGGTTCATGTCATGAAGAAACCACAGCGAGTGTTCAAGTGGCCCATCTCCCTTCATGGGGCTCTTTGGCCAGTGAACCTGCTTTTGAAGCTCTGAGATGTGGGTTAGTCGGCCAGTGTGGGACAAATGGTGGGAGAGGAGAACAGATGATCAGCCGTGGTCACTTCTGTGCTCAGAACACTCCCATTGTGTCAGTCTGGATTGCAGCAAGAAATATATGGAATGCTCAGTGTATTCATCTGTTTTAACCTTGCTATAAAGAAATACCTAAGACTAGGTAGTCTATCAAGGAAAGATGTTTGATTAACTCAGTTCTGCGTGGCTGAGGAGGCCTCAGGAAACTTACAATCATGGCAGAAGGGGAAGCAGGCACATCTTACATGGAGGCAGGTGAGAGAAGAGTGAAGGAGGAATTCCCAAACACTTATAAGACCATCAGATCTCATGAGAACTCACTATCATGAGAACAGCATGGGGGAAACTGTCCCAATGATCCAGTCACCTTCCTCCCTTGACATGTGGGGATTACAATTCAAGATGAGATCTGGGTGGGAACACAGAGCCAAACCATATCACTCAGATTGGGCAATTTGAGGAAAATTTTAATAAAATGGCTATTTACAAAGGTATTGTCAAGATACTGGAAAACTGCAAAGGATAGCATCCCAGAGCTCAGAATAGTGTAACATCGTTACCACCCCTGGAGTTTAAAAAGCACATGAAGGGGAATCCCACTTCTGTGGATACACTCCCCACTGAAACAACTGTAGTTGGTGAAAATGATTTTTAAGACAACTTAGTTTCTGGAAATTGTCTTAAAGGCATGTAACAAATGAAAAAAAAATTATTCAAGAAAATCTATCACAACTTGGTAAGAACAGAGAGAGTGTGTGACATTTCAGCTATAACCTGCTCCTTCCCTCCACATACATAGCTAGCTCAACTTGATAGAAGTTCCACTGTGGGCAGGATGTGGTCAGCAAGATGGGGCTCGCTCTCCCTTCCTCTCTCAAAGGATAAAGTGTTTCACAAGAAAGGGAAGGATGCAAGCATTTCTCATCCACTTCAACTCCAGGTTTAAGGCTAAATTCCAGATAAGTGTGGCCAAGAGGCAAGAGGCTCCCTTTTTCCACCAAGTTCCCACTCATGGATAGAGACTATTGCTAGGCATAACAGGCCAGGACTACAGGAGTCCTAACTGCCCTCACTCCAGCTTGCTTGCTGGGGTAGGTAAACATATATTCTGTTTCCAATAGAAAAGCTGAGAAGACCAGAGGCTACCACACCTGCCATGTGCCAGAGTAGTATGGCTCTAGCATCCAAAAATCAATCAATGTAATAAGCCATATCAGCAGAATAAATGATCAAAACACATTCATCTTAATAGATGCAGAATACATATATAAAACAAAATCCAACATCCTTTTATAATAAACAACTAGGGAGAGAACAGAACGTCTTCAAACTGATAGCAGACATCTATGTAAAACCTACAGTTAACATTACATTTAATGGTCAAAGACTGATGGCTTTTCTCTATGATCAGGGAAAGACAAGAATGTCTACTTTTGCCATTTTTATTCAACAGTGTACTACAGGTTCTAGCCAGGCCAATTAAGCAAGAAAAATAAATGTAAAGTATTCAAATTGGAAAGGAAGTAGTAAAGCTGTATCTGTTAAAGATGGCATGATCCAGTATGTAAGACATCCACCAAAAAACAAGTAGAACCAACTGTGAAAGGAAAGTAAATTTTGAGATCCCAAACTTACTAAGCCAAAGGGAAAAGTCAAGATGGGAACTGGGTCATGCAAGCCCGCCTCCCATTTTGGTTCCTAAATTAGGTGACTATAAAGATGAAAAGCTACACACCTCCCCTGTGGGTCTCAAGATCTTTACCCTAAAACATTTCTGTTAAAATTTGTCATGGTGATGTAAATTGATAGCTTATCTTCGCACTTGTGGGGACGTAGGACCGAACTCAAAGCTATCCCTCTGCCCACCTGAGACAAATGCGTATCTGATTGTTTCCTCTGCCCTATCGTCTACGTTATCTTAAGTAAAAATGCATATTCACAAAGCTTAAGACATGAATGACTCTTTTCCTCTACCTCCTTCTCACATGAAAATTGTACGTTTCTCAATATCTCACCCTTTCTTCTTTAAATATTGAATCTCTCAAAATCATCTC